TGTCATTGTCAGAACGGACAATATGGCAGTAGTGTCCCATGTAAACAGACAGGGGGGTTCACGATCGCGCACCCTAGACAGGCATGCGCGTCACCTTCTCCTGTGGTCCCAGGACAAGTTCCTCTCTCTGAGAGCAGTTCATGTCCCAGGGATTCTGAACCTCGCAGCAGATTTTCTGTCGAGGCAGAAGCTCAGGTCTGGGGAATGGATGTTGAACCGCCAGTCGGTGGCCCTGATCTGGGAGGTGTTCGGAAAAGCGGAAGTGGACCTCTTTGCATCTCAGGAGTCGTCCCAATGCCCGCTTTGGTTCTCTCTGAGCCCTCCAGCTCCATTGGGGATAGATGCGTTCGCCCACCCTTGGCCGATGCAGAAACTCTATGCCTTCCCGCCCATCAAGCTGATCCAGGCGGTTCTGTCCAGAGTGAGGGAGAGCGGAGTCCGCCTCCTTCTGGTAGCCCCATTCTGGCCGTCCCAGCCATGGTTTTCGGAGCTGATCCCTCTGTTGGAATCCTCCCCCTGGGAGATACCGGTCAGGGAGGACCTGCTTTCCCAGCTTCAGGGCAGGATATGGCATCCTCGCCCCGACATTTGGAAGCTGTACGTTTGGCCTATCAGAGGCCGTTAGCTTTAAGCTTTGATCTCCCAACCGACGTTCAGGAGACTATTGCGAATGCTAGAGCCCCTTCGACGAGGAGGCTATATTCCTCCAAGTGGAGGGTGTTCGAGGCGTGGTGCTTAGCACATGATAGGAACCCAGTTAGCTGCCCAGTAGGCTCAGTGCTGGAATTCCTGCAGGAAAAGTTTGCTTCCGGAGCGGCCGCTACCACTCTCAGAGTGTATGTCGCAGCTATTGCTGCTCATAGAGAATCGGATGAGATTCCCTTGGGGAAACTGAGGTTAGTTTCGGCCTTCATGCGTGGGGTTAGGCGCCTGAAACCGGCTCGCCCCCCTAGTGTTCCCTCGTGGGACCTGTCAGTCGTCCTGGAGGGTTTGACAGAGGCTCCCTTCGAGCCCTTGGAGTCAGCTCCTGAGCGGATTCTGACTCTTAAGGTTGCTCTTTTGTTAGCTTTATCTTCACTGAAGCGGATAGGGGATTTGCAGGCTCTCTCTATTAGTGAGTCATGCTTGGACTTCGCTCCTGGCCTGGTTAGGGTTACCTTGAGGCCGAGGTCGGGGTATGTACCCAAGGTTCTTTCCACGGCGTTCCGCTCTCAGGTTGTTAACCTTAATGCTTTCCACCCTCCTCCTTTTGCCTCTGAGGAAGAAAGGAAACTTAACTTGCTCTGCCCGGTCCGTTCTTTGAAGTTGTATGTAGATCGCTCAAGCGGTTGGAGGAAATCAAACCAGCTCTTGGTATGTTTTGGTGCTGGCCGCCGCGGGCTTGCAGCATCAAAGCAGAGGATTTCCCACTGGGTAACGGACGCTATTTCGCTGGCTTATGAGGTGCGTGGTTTGCCTTCACCTCTTAGCATCAGAGCGCATTCCACCAGAAGTGTGGCTTCCTCTCAAGCTCTCTTTAGAGGGGCCCTCTTGGAAGACATTTGTGTGGCGGCAGGTTGGTCCTCTCCGCACACCTTTGTGAGGTTCTATAATTTGGATCTTGACATGACTCCAGGTTCCCAGGTTCTATCTGCTTGAACCTATCATGGTTGTTATTATTTGGTCTGGTACCGGTTATGGCAGCGCTTAGCTTGGCGAGTTTGGTATTTCGTTCCCACTGCGCTTTCCGCAGCGTTGAGTGAACCTATGAAAGAGAACGTCTCTGGTTACTTACGTAACCTATGTTCTCTGAATAGGGAACGAGACGCTGCGTTCGCTGCCAAGCTCCTCGCGCTGCCGACAGTTTTTCTTTTCGGCAGAGAAATCTGAGGAGAAGATGGCGCGCGCGCGTACATCATGCTACGACGTAAGAGCGTCGGGGCGGAGCCAGCTTTGCGCGAGCGCCATCAGCCAATGGATTGGCGTGATTCTATAGGGCTTCAGACAATCGGCACATCCAGAGGATATCCCACTGCGCTTTCCGCAGCGTCTCGTTCCCTATTCAGAGAACATAGGTTACGTAAGTAACCAGAGACGTTTTGGGTGCCTGAAAACTTAAACTTTTGAAAACGGGTTTCAAAGTGCACGTTTTTGAAAATGGTCTCCGTGTAAAAAAAAACAGCGAATCTCTGAAAACGATGACGTCATGCACATGCGTATTACGTGTTTCATCGCCATCTAATGGCCAGGCAGCAGAATACAGCGTTTTTAGTCGTTTTCGCAGATCCGTGTGAATGGGGATCGTTTTGACTATGGCGCCGTCTCTACACGGAAAAACTTCTCCGTTTTAAGCATATCGTTGTCGTGTAAACGTACCCTAACTCGGCTGTGCATTGGCCCTCTATGGCAAGATTTGAGGAATCCTGGTCTAGGACATTCCCACCTAAACAGTTTTAAAAAAAGCGCAGAAGCTTTTTTCCTCTGACTGACAATTGATTACAGTCCCAAAGTGAAGGGGGTGGTCTCCGCTCATGTACCGACGTTATTGGTCTCTGAAGGAAAAACTCTCCTAACCATTGTTCATTACAGCCGATCAAAGAATATGTAGGTCCACAATCTCAACCTTGATCAAAACACTTCATGGAGGCCCAACACTTCAATTCTGCAGTGGTCACTCCAAAAAAGGTCTGGTCTTTCTTAGGTTTCTCTCCAGTTGTGGTCCAAATACTTTGAGTTTCATGCTCCTGGCTATGTGCTTTTCTTGTCTAATGAATTCCTTATGAAGAAAACATGGTCAATGCGAGAGTGAGCCATTCAACACACCATTTACATTTACCAATTGGTCTCTTTATAGATTTTTCCTCTCTAAATTTAGTATATCCACCAAGATTTACCATAATAACAGGTCTTCATTTAGGAGCTACAGGAACTGGGTGATGTTTAAACTGCTATTTGTAGGTTCACGAAACTGTTAACCAATAAAGAAAAACATACTGATGGATGGTGTTGCCAGTAAGTACTGACCCTTCTCACTGCTCCAGTGGTTTCTTTGGCTTCGTCTCTAGCTGTTCTGTGTGTATATTGATGCTTGAACCCTCTCTGTCAAGCTTTCATGACAGGAAATGGTCAGGACCTTACCACATACATAGAAACCCACAACCACAAATAACACATTAGCCCACTCGTGGTTTCCATTTGTATCAGATTGAAGTGGTCTACTGAAGGCTTACACAGGACATATTCTTGTGTTCGAAAAGAGAATGAAACAGAGCAGTGTTTTTTTAAGATGCATTATTACAGGTGTAACTGATTTAGTGTTTTTAAAGATTAACTTAAGTGAGTGTTAGATGACGGCAAAGGTAATCTTAATGTAAAACTAGGAAAAATAAGCATGTTCAAATAAGTATCCACCGTTGACCTCTGCTGATTAATTTAATAAATAAAAAAACATCTCTAATACGTAACTGACATGGCACCAATATATTGTGCATCCATAGGTATAATGACTCGATAATTGCTTACCATTAACATATAACATTAAAGTAGCCTACTGAGAATGCAATTCAGTAATGTTAATGAATTGTTAATGTAGCCTATATTCCTAAATGAATGGCAGATATTCAGGGACCACATTACCAGGATATCACTTTACTAGCATGCATGTGGGGTAAATTGTGTCGTTGAACCAAAAAAGCTGAACATCTGTCTCAGTGATAAGGATATCCTTTAAGAGAAGCCTCTGAGGGCGCAAACAAATAGAGAATCCCACAAGCCACATATGCACACAAAGCCGGTGTGCTATCGTGAAACACTGCCGCCCAGTGTGCATCTCAAGACTGCTGCCACAGCAACCCGACACCCTGTTTAATGCTCAAGGCCAGATGTCCCTCTCACTTGAGCTTTTCTAGTTGCTTTGCTTTCACTCCTCCATTAGTGAGACAATCTTACACACTTTCACTGGGTCCTCCCCTCGCTGCTTGCATGTTAGGGTTAGACCAGTGTTATTTTAGTATCACTAGCTATATTTCCATCCAAAGTTGTGAATTTAACTTATGCACAAAATTGGAAAATCGCATAAAACAATTGTGAATAAAGCAGCGTTTCCATCCCATGTATAATACAACATTGTCATTTCCTGGGTAATTGGCACAAAATATCAGCAATAAAAATGGAAATTGCTGCAATCGAGGAAGAAACTGTGGCTCTTTTTTCCTACACCACGAATGACTTGCGTCTCAGAGCATGCAGACGGAACGCAATAATAGATCTGTCATGTTGTCTTGCGTTCGGATGCCTGGTCTTTGGGAACGCAATCATGTGAGACGCTTCTAGGAGGAATTAAGCCAAATAATTTTGAAGACTCATTTTTAGCTCATGCATTTTAATCCAACATTTGAGATGCTGTGCAATGAAATTGGTCCGCTGGTTAGTCCAATCACATACATTGGCAAAGTCACGTAAGGTTTTTGTTGCGCATCGAGGGATTTATATGGTAAATTTGTTTCCATCGTAGTTTATGCGCATGTCTTCTTATTGGATACAAATCTATCAGCCTCAATTAAACGCATACATTTTTTATGCGCATTTTTTAGAATTTACTGTATGCGCACCTTGGCATTTCCATCTAGCGTTTTTTATGCGATATCTCTGTTTTTTTTTATGCAATATTATGCACATAAAAAGGTGGAAACTATTATAGTTTTATTAATACGTTGACTTGTATTTTCTGTTTTCAATTTAATTTTAAAGTTTTAAGAATTTTGTTGTGTTTTTGTCATTTATATTCAAGTTTAAAATTGTTGTCTTTTATTTTAGCTTTAGCTATCTTAATACATCAAGTTAAACTAAATGAAAATGAGAAATGTTGCCTTCCTTGGCTTTCTAGCTGAAATAAAATACTTGTTTTTTTGTTAAAATTTATTTTATTTCAAGAAACAAAAATGTTTTTAATGGCTGCAGTTTTAGTTACCTATAATAACCCTGGTTAAGACACACACAGCAACCGGACAGTGATGGCCTACCTGTGCTGATGAGAGGATGCCCCGCCACTGAGGTCACATTGGGACACAAGTTCAGCTCCCGTGTTGTGAGGTCACTGGTTTTGACGTTTTTTCCCACAGTCTCTAAGGGCGTTTCCGCAGGACAGCACTTTACAGCAGCTCCCTGAGGGTTCGGCTCCGCTCCAGGACTCTTCAGTCGGGCCACCTGCTGGCTAGTCAAAGTAATCTGCGCTGACGCCCCGGGGGACTGTTTCACATTTAGGCTCTGTAACTGAGACTGAGAGAGGGAGGAAGTGAGCACCCCCTGCTGGCCACGGAGAGCCAAGTTCTGCACCTAAGCGGAGAGAGATAAAAGAGATTTTGGTGTGGCAAAAAATTATATATGGTATAGATGTGCTGTAAGTCAGGCTGGTGTATGTTAGGATTACCTGTCCACTGATGGGCGGCGTATTGATTGACTGAACTGCTGTGACTGAGGCAGCTGGGGTGAAGATAAGCTGAGGGGACAAAGGAACAGCTCGTCCTAGGCTCCTAGCTACTTGCACAAGATTAGTTTGCTGTGCCTGGAAATCACACCAAAAATGGTTGCTTTATCTGAATGTACAGTATGAGTCACATTTAAATTACGAATATTAGGCTATCAAATTCGACATCAGAGAAAGCACTTGAGCCATTTCAGCTGTTATAGTGCTGAAAGGACTTCATTTCGAATTCTGGCAGATCTCAAACAGCTCATTTACTAATAATCAGTTCCCAGCCAAAAAGAGAAAATAGAGTTTTAGAGAAAATAGAGTCGATGTGCTAGTGAAAACATTTTGGTCACCATCCTGACTCTTATTGGGTTTTTTGAAAGAGCTGCAGCTGTGCCATATTTCAAATCCAAGGCCAAATGAAAACGATGTTGTAAGATGGTAAGTATGAATAGAACACACACACCGACACACACACACACACACACACACACACATACAATGCCAAAATGGCAATTATTTTTTCCATTTCAAGATAAACACTATTTATTCATGAGGAAATCTTGGAAATCTTAGTGCTTAGAACCAATGAGAGCTGCCATTAGGGAACTGAAATGATTTATACAGTATAGAATTTGAATTGGGACCACTCAACAATTCTACACAAAAACAAATCATGTGCTTACTTAATTAAAGGGTTAGTTCACCCAAAAATGAAAATTATTCCATAATTTACTCACCCTCAAGTCGTATTCTAGGTGATACGACTTTCTTCTTTCAGCCAAACACAATCAGAGTTATATTAAAAAATATTCTTGTTATATATATATATATATATATATATATATATATATATATATACAGTATATATATACTGTATATATACATACATATATTCCATTATTCCCCAGGAAAGTATGTTATATTAGAGCAAAAATTTAATAAAATAAAATAAAACAACGGGTTATGTTTAATCTATGCTCATTATAATCAGCATTATGTAAAAACATTATAAGTCTTTATTTAGAAAGCACATTTGTAATTGTGGTTGTGCGTGTGTAAGAGGATTTACCATCTGAGCTCGTAAATACATCTGTGCTTGGCTGGCGGTGAGTGTGGGTGTGGAGGAGTTTCCCAGCAGAACGGCCTGTTGGGCAATGCAGACCGGAACAGAGCTCCCACTCTGGGCTCGACTGATCAAATGAGCTGCCGCTGGGGATGTGGCCAGGTTTATCTGCTTCAACAAAGAAAAAATCCTAACAATTTTGATTTTCTGAAAGCTGTGTTGTCAACATAATAAATCATATTTTTAACCAAAGCCTTACATTCAGCCAAAAGTTAAGGAAGCCACCAATATGTACATAAAAAAAAGTGGTCACGTGTAAGTAATACCCACTGCCATTTTTTTCTGTAGCACTGCAGACTTGTTGAGTGAGATATCAATATCAGCTTTAATAATACTTACAGTGGTTTGGGAGGCCACAGTCTGCTGGGATGTAGTGCCATTCAGATTACAGCTTTGTCTTCCTGCCACTATACTAGCCTATGGGGAATGAGTGAATGCCAGAGAGAGAGAGAGAGAGAGAGAGAGAGAGAGAGAGAGAGAGAGAGAGAGAGAGAGATGGTAAAAGAGGGAAGGACACAGAGATAGGTCACAAGTCAAACCCAGCACTCATTAATCAATAACAACAACACTGATCAAGAGAGAGAGAGGCAGGAAACAGATCCCTTGTTCCCACAGCCTGTCGCTCAACACTATAACCACACAATACATTCAACTCTACTGTACTCCCCAAAGGGATTTCCATTCTGTGGATATCCAAATTAGGTTTAATCTTTAAAAATACAAAAAGGTCATTATTTGTTAATTGTTTCCAAATAAATTATTTGTGCAGATGCAGGGTATCTATTCAGTACAGCTCTCAGCATGTACCCATCAAGGGTCTTTAAAAAAAAAGATGTATATATATATATATACACTCACCGGCCACTTTATTAGGTACCCCATGCTAGTAACGGGTTGGACCCCCTTTTGCCTTCAGAACTGCCTCAATTCTTCGTGGCATAGATTCAACAAGGTGCTGGAAGCATTCCTCAGGGAGTTTGGTCCATATTGACATGATGGCATCACACAGTTGCCGCAGATTTGTCGGCTGCACATCCATGATGCGAATCTCCCGTTCCACCACATCCCAAAGATGCTCTATTGGGTTGAGATCTGGTGACTGTGGAGGCCATTTAGTACAGTGAACTCATTGTCATGTTCAAGAAACCAATTTGAAATGATTAGAGCTTTGTGACATGGTGGAAGTAGCCATCAGAGGATGGGTACATGGTGGCCATAAAGGGATGGACATGGTCAGAAACAATGCTCAGGTAGGCCGTGGCATTTAAACGATGCCCAATTGGCACTAAGGGGCCTAAAGTGTGCCAGGAAAACATCCCCCACACCATTACACCACCACCACCAGCCTGCACAGTGGTAACAAGGCATGATGGTTCCATGTTCTCATTCTGTTTACGCCAAATTCTGACTCTAACATCTGAATGTCTCAACAGAAATCGAGACTCATCAGACCAGGCAACATTTTTCCAGTCTTCAACTGTTCAATTTTGGTGAGCTCTTGCAAATTGTAGCCTCTTTTTCCTATTTGTAGTGGAGATGAGTGGTACCCGGTGGAGTCTTCTGCTGTTGTAGCCCATCCGCCTCAAGGTTGTGCGTGTTGTGGCTTCACAAATGCTTTGCTGCATACCTCGGTTGTAACGAGTGGTTATTTCAGTCACTGTTGCCCTTCTATCAGCTCGAACCAGTCTGGCCATTCTCCTCTGACCTCTGGCATCAACAAGGCATTTCCGCCCACAGAACTGCCGCTCACTGGATGTTTTTTCTTTTTCGGACCATTCTCTGTAAACCCTAGAGATGGTTGTGCGTGAAAATCCCAGTAGATTAGCAGTTTCTGAAATACTCAGACCAGCCCTTCTGGCACCAACAATCATGCCACGTTCAAAGTCACTCAAATCACCTTTCTTCCCCATACTGATGCTCGGTTTGAACTGCAGGAGATTGTCTTGACCATGTCTACATGCCTAAATGCACTGAGTTGCCGCCATGTGATTGGCTGCTAAGAAATTAAGTGTTAACGAGCAGTTGGACAGGTGTACCTAATAAAGTGGCCGGTGAGTGTATATATACATATTAGATTTCACAATATCACAATTATCATTACACTGCTTTTGGTTTGAGCAGAATTTTACTATTAACTAATATGACCAATTTATTAAGAAATATTCTATGTGTTTCTTCTTTTTTTTCAATTTTTTTAACAAAATGTTTTAAACAAATCATGTTTTCATGTAAATCTTGTTCAGATTGGTAATTATTTTATAGTTTTAAAGTCAGTGCTCTCAATTTCACTTTCCATTCTTTTGCAATATTTCTTTATTGCATAATAGTTTCGTAATGACATCATCCTCCAGGAAATGATATAATTTTGGTGCGAAATTAACAGTATAAACAATATATCTTATGAGATGTTTGTGGTAATAATTGGTTTGTTTTAATGATTTATGATAATTCACATAAATCTGTAATATTCTCAAAATTTCAAAAGTTGGTTAAAAATATCAAAATTAACTTCAAGTTTAAACCCTCATTTAACCTAAGTTCTTTAATTCACAGCAATAAGCCACTCAAATATTAATTGAAGCGAACCTTGACATGCTGGTCAAAAGTATGAATCAAATCATTTTTTAGTTAAGAGTCGCTTGTTCCTCTTGGTTTCCTCAAATATCCACAGAATGTGGCTCTGCCAGAACAGATTTTTGCTAAACATTGCAAAACATGCCTCTGGCCAATGCAAGGAATTCCACATCAATACTTGTCACAAGAGATGAATGACCCTGCAAAATTCGTAAAGAGCCATGTGTGATTTTCATTAGACCGTGTGCTTTACCGTTCTCGTGTGCTTTAATCCAATTTCTTTATCTTCAAACAGTATGGTATTTTAACAACTTCCTGACTATCTTCAGATACAGACAGTAAACCACTACCTGACACAAGCATACAATTTTTGTCCTTCTGTGTTTGATTACCATGTTGAGAAATCACTGAACAAAATATTTCTTTCTGGTCGAATTAAACTCCTTATAGAGAGACAAAAAAAAAAGCTTGTTCAAACATTAAGGCAATAATTAGTTTGATAGATCAGAGAATTATTTAATTATAAGCTTGAGAAAGCATTTAAAGGATGCATATGTTGATGTACAGTGGGCTCCAAAAGCCTGATTCAAATTCTACTTTGAACCTGGAAATAAATAGAAAGTTTTAGAAAACTATAATTATATATATAATTAGGGCCCAAGCCTTGAAAAGGCGAAGGCCCTATTGTTTTCCTTAGGATTATTTTTTTCTTACGACTATTTGGGCACTTTTGGGGCTCTTAACGTGCTCGAAAACTCTTGAAACTTTGCACACGGGTCAGAATCCGCGGCCATCAGGGCCGGGCTGAAGCTGGTACCCGGGCGTGGCAGGGGGGCTCAACAGCGCCCCCTTGAACGTGATCCGAAAACTTGGTCCATAAATCAAACACACTTGCATGTAATAATATGAAACTCGGTACACATATAGATCTTTTTACCCCAGCCCAAAAGGAAGTCGGCTACTTAGGGTTGTTTGGAAAATGCATGCAATGGAATTTAAAGTACTCCTCCTAGAGAATTCATCCAAATGCCACGAAACTCGGTGTACATGAAGTCAAGACATTGAGGATGAAAAATTGCCAGGGGATTTTTGATATCTCGAACGGTTTGGCCGTGGCGAGGAAACGAAAATATGGCGAGAAGCGTGAAACAGGAAGTGTGTTATAACTTCAGCATACATTAACTGCGTGACTATTGTGAGTCAAAGTTATAGCGCCACCAACTGGCTGCAGGAAGTGTGTCACTTTCAAAATGCTTTGAAATCACCCTCTTAATTTTACCCGATTTGCTTCAAACTTTATGTGTATAATCTAAACACACGGCAGATGTAGACCTGTCAAAGGATTATTGATAACTTAGATACTGTTGCCGTGGCAACGCATCAAACTTTAATATTCTTGTTTGATGCTTTTGAGACTCTTAGCACGCTTGAAATTGCATGAAACTCGACAGACACATCTCATTTATTAGCCAGTAGACATGTGCAAAGTTTCAGAAACGGGCCTGGTGAGGGGCTCAGTAGCGCCACCTTTTGACAAAGTGGGGGGATTAGTTTCATCTACAGTAACAAAACTCGATATGCATATTGTAGTCATCAAGCCGGACAACTTTCTAATTTACAGTCATTAGCTCCGACCAACAGAAAGTCAGATATTTTGGTTTGAATATGGTCATTTTCTCTCTCTCTCTCTCTGTGCCTACGTCTCTGTGTCTGTCTGTGGGGGAGGGGGCTAGATTAACCTTTCACTGCTGTGTGGTTTGGCCTGCATTAAAAAGGAAAATAAATGTCTTACGCCTTGTATTTTTAAAATAAATTGTATTAATAAAGTAAAGGCATATAACCAGTTTAATTGTAGTGCATTGACAATAGTTTTATATAATTAGTTTATTAATTCAATTAACTTGGTCCATAAACTTGGTCTGAAAATTTGGTAAAATACATGCAACACACTTGCATGTAATAATATGAAACACGGTTCACATATAGATCTCATCAGGCCGAACAACTTTAAGCCAGCCCAACAGGAAGTCGGCTATTTTGGTCTGAATGTGGATGTTTTGCAAAACCAGCCTCTACATTTTTACTCACTCCTCTTAAGTGGTTTATTTTATTCCCACCAAACTTTTTCAACATGATGAAAATACATTAAAGATGCTAAATTGTGAACGGATATTGAATATCTCAAACGGTTTTGCTATGGTGAGGGATTAAAGTAATGTCAAAAAAGAATCAGCAAATGTCTCATATCTTTCTAAAATGTAATTATACACCATTTATATTTATATAAAATTATACAAATATTAGAACTAAACCCATTTTATTCTTTTTTTTCAATTCAAGAAATATGAAAAAGTTTAAAACAGGCTATTTAGTGCTATTTGGTTAAACAAAAAATCATACATAGGGCTATACTGCCCTCTTGTGTCCAAAATGATATCAACATAGTACATAAAACTTTTTTATCAGGTATGCCTATTGTATTTATATATATATATATATATATATATATATATATATACACTCACCGGCCACTTTATTAGGTACCCCATGCTAGTAACGGGTTGGACCCCCTTTTGCCTTCAGAACTGCCTCAATTCTTCGTGGCATAGAATCAACAAGGTGCTGGAAGCATTCCTCAGGGAGTTTGGTCCATATTGACATGATGGCATCACACAGTTGCCGCAGATTTGTCGGCTGCACATCCATGATGCGAATCTCCCGTTCCACCACATCCCAAAGATGCTCTATTGGGTTGAGATCTGGTGACTGTGGAGGCCATTTTAGTACAGTGAACTCATTGTCATGTTCAAGAAACCAATTTGAAATGATTAGAGCTTTGTGAC